ATACCAAATGACTGTATATAGTTTTTTGGTTTTTTTGGGGGGTCATGGGGCCTGAACTGGGCCTGGGCGCTGTCCCTCAGCTCTTCAGCTCAAAGCTAGTGCTCTACCACTTGAGCCACAGCACCACTTCTGGCTTTTTTCTTTTTGCTTATGTGGCGGTGAGGAATCGAACCCAGGGCCTCATGCATGCAAGGCAAGCGCTCTACCACTGAGCCACCTTCCCAGCCCGACTATATGTTTTTAAATTTGTAGATTTATGAAGAGTTGGAGACATAGATTTATCTGGCTTGATTTATACTTGTCTCTCCTGTTTATACGTTGCTAAGAAGAATTTTGAAACTAGCATGGTTAGGCTTTTAATAGAAACTATTAGGATGCCTATAATACATTGAATATTTATGTATACTAGGCAGTGTGGTGAGTTCTTTGCAGTCATTGTTTTATTTCTTCACCATGTCAGCCAATGTCTCTGTGCTTTCATTCATGCATACTTAGTGGATGTCAAAAAATAGGACAAAGGGAATTAATTGGCTAATCGAGAGCCATATCAATGTCAGCAGAACTTGGTTATAAACCCAGTTAGATGACTGAACTAATGGCCTGTCCTTATACATTACTCATATATAAATGAGATTTCTTTTATGAGGACACAGAGAAGGAAACAGCACTAAGAGGTAAAATGCCAAACCTGTGGAGGAGTGTGAGATAGTTTGGCAATCAGTAAGCATTGTTTGTTGTTCTACAGCTTCTCTGTAGATACAACAACTTTCTCAGAATGTCTCCACTTGCACTGCCGTGGGTGGTATAGTTAGGTCAGTCCAATTCTATCCATTAGCAAGAGCCACACACACTGGCATACCTCCCCTTGGAGGCTTGTTACCAACTACAGTTGTCAATCTTAGGATCAAGTACCAGGCCCCAGATCACTCAGCCAAGGATTGTATTCCACAAACAATAGAATTTTTTTTTTTCAGTGATAGAGCTTAAACTCAGAACCTGGGCACTGTCTCTGACTTTTTTGCACAAGATTAGCTCTCTGTCCTGGAGCCACAGCACCACTTCTGGTTTTCTGGTGGTTAATTGGAGGTAAGAGTCCCACAGACTTTTCTGCCCAGGCTGGCTTTGAACTGTGATCCTCAATGTCAGCCTCCTGTGTAGCTGGGATTATAGGGATGAGCCACCAGTACTCAGCAAACAATGGAAACGTTACATCATAAGATTGATGAAGGGGGCTGTGGATATGAGCTTGTAGGTGTTTTTGAAGTTGCAATGATCAAATTCTATCAAAAATGATGAGATTTTCAAAAAGTTTTGTTAAGGTATCAGTGATTAAAATTTTAGGATCAGGTGATTAAAACTTCAGCAAATAGAAATATTTGCTAAGGGGAGGTTCTGGAAACACAAATATGAGTGATGAAATGTTGACATAGCTAGGGGAAATTAAAGCATATCTTTTCTCCTGATCTTGATTCATACAGACATTACAACTTTATTGTTAAGTAAAGTTGTATATACCAATTAATTAGTTTCCTTACTGTTTTCCTGTATTTCCACACTTGTATTGACCATGAGAGGGAAGATGTTAAGCGTCCACACATTATCTATTAGATTATAAGTAAGATAGTCTTCTATACTTCCATTCTAGTTTTTAGCATCTTCTTTATTCATGAAGAGAGACACACAGTAAATGACATTGCCTAAGTACTCAGCCCTAATGTCAGCTGAAAAGAAGTACAAATTGAAGATTCTTCTATAAGCACAGAGTCAAGGAGAAGTGAATGTTATTTTTTGCATATCTTATGTCTTAATCCCATCCTCTCTGGATCAAAACAATGGATTGTTATTATGAACTTCTGTGTCATTTTGTCCTTTGTTTCCATCTAGAGTGTGTCAGCTGTACTTTTTCATTAAGGCAAAGATAAATACTGAGAAACACGTTGTTTTGGGAGAGTTGGAGAGGTGGGAGAGGGAAGGGTTAGGAGAAAAACAAAGGAGGGAGTAGCAATGCTCGACAAGAAATGTACTCATTACCTTTACTCATGTAACTAACCTGTCTGTACAGCATCTTTACAATAAAATAAAATTTAATAAGAAAAGAAAAAAAACATTGTTTTGGTTTCTTACCAGCTTATCTCTCTTTTCATGAGAGTCCTAATCAACCTTTAGTTTAGGCCTATTTTAATCCTTCTTGGGATGTTAAACTGTAGAACCCTAATTAAATTGATGAAAGACTACAAAATAAAATAAGGGAGAGGAAGGATCAGTCCTGTTCATGGCAGTTGAATTTTAGAAGTGATCTTCTTGTCTTGTTAACTTACAATAATATTGTCTGGGGAGATGAAAGTCTTTTGTCCCCATGGTCCCTCTGCTGGCCAGTGGCCTAATACTTTAAAGTTGAAGTTACAAGTAGTAGCATTTTGATGTTTCCAAACATTTGTATAAGTCGTAAGTCAGAGAGTGGTAGCATGTTATATAGGACTTGTGGATTCAATCTCATGTTTATTCCATGCACACCAGGGACATACCTATGTACCCACGACACTACTGTTGGCTTTTATATGGAAAATTACTTCTGGAGGTGAACAGCCACTGGAGCAAGGCAACAATGGGCCATTTCTCTTCTCTTTACTGGAGAAATGATTTCTGATGTGCCATTCTAGGCATTCTGACCACATCATTTTCTTCTTCTTTTCTAACTTTAACTCGTGAAAATCTCATGGGATGAGGAACCCATTTTGAGAAGTGTGTCACAGCAACTTTTGAAATGTAAGAAGCTAAGCAATTAGTGTCAGCTTTTCTCTTGGGAGAAAAAGATAAGAAAAGTTAATGTAGACTACAGAGGTAATAATGTAAGGAAGTTCTGAACTAGAAGTACATCATATAAATGATTATTTCTAGCAAAGGAACCCCGTCCTCTGTGGGAAGGCTTTACGTGGGAAATCTTTAAACTAGTAATAGTATATGACACTGCTTTCCATTCAAATTGAGAGCTTAAAGAAGCCATCACAACTTTTTTTTCTGTTTTTATATCAAGTGTACTCTAAAAGCTTTTGAATTTTTAAGTTTCTTGGTAAATTTACAATAATGAAGAGTTTACCAAGTGTAGTAAAAGAGGAAAAGGAAAATAATGCTCAGAGATACAATCTCAAGGTGTTTTGTGGCTTTCAGAAGCTCATTGATTTCAGTTTTGTGCAATGTACACAGTGTAGGTTCAAAATTCACTAAACATGTAACTACCAGCCATCAATAAAGCAGTACACTCATTGCAGAAAAAAATGCAAGTCATGCCTGTAGACATCATACATACATCCTGTGAGGAATTATGATCCCAATTTTTTAGATAAGAGAATCTCACAAATACTATGACTCACCCATGGGTATGTGATGAATCAGTAGCATTATAGGGATTATAAATCAGATTATGGGATCATCACATCTATTGAACTTCCCAATAAAGTTAATTTACAAGAACAAAACCTTTTGGACATTACCTGATACATACTTGTGGACTGTTGCAATTTCAACAATTGATTCATTCAAGGAAGAGTCTACTGCAGACTTAATAAAAGGAGATGATGCAGTTCAGGCCTCAGGCTTTGTAGTCAGTCATTTCTAAGTCTCAAGCTTCATGCCAATAAAACATATTGCAATACTGCATTGAAGGGAGGCATTTATTCAGGATACCCAACCGATAATACAGTCTTGGTAGCTGTTAATAGTAGTAATAGTGATTTTAAAAAAAGTAAACAAAACAGTTAATGAGAAGTTCTCATGCCTATAATCTGACTACTTGGGAGGCTGAGATAGGATCATGATTGAGGCCAGCCCTGGCCTCAACTGATCCCCAGCTGATAGCTGGGCATACTGGCACACACTTGTAATAATCCTTGTTATTACAGGAATCCTAAAAAGGTAGATCACAGTCCAGGTATGTGCCTGGACAGGGAGTGACACCCTATTTTAAAATCAGTGCAGTGTAAAAGAGGGCTGGAAATGTGGCTCAACCATATAGAACTTTTCTAATTAAGGATCTTGAGTTCAAATGTCAATACCTTAAAAAATAATAGTACCATGTCCTGAGACGTGTAAAGACATGAATAAAATTGTATTGCTATCATTAAAGACTTGTGAGAAATAACCATTAAGTACTATATAATTTTATGTAGTAATTTTTTTTAGGTATTTTAAGAGTGTGGAACCAGATTTTCAGGTCATGTCTGTATTTTGATAACTTTTGTTCAAAGATAGGGGTCTGAATAAATTCTAGCTATTTGAGGAGGCTCTCTTGTCTTTTTTTTTTTTTTTAGTTAGATAATTGAAAAATACATAACTAATTTTAGGGAGAGAAGCTTGGCTTTTGAAAACATTGCTTTTAAATGGTCTTTCAATTGTTAATGAGTAGAATCAGTGTTAGTTATATATTATGCATACACATGTATCCAATTAGATAGATTATATTAAAGTAAGTGAAAGTTTTTCAAAATCTAAGCATAACTAAAGTTTCATTTTTTCCTGTAGCTATTTTAAATACTTCTCTATACTTCTTGATTAAGAATCATGATATGTTTAAAGTGATAACCTTGAATATTTGTCTAATACATAACCATGATGTAAACAAAATAGAAGCTTGTAAAAAATGTGAATTGTAAATTTGCTTATCTAATCTGTTGGGAGAATTAAAGAGATAGAGTCTGACTAAGAATGACCTATGAATCCAAGATAAACTAAATTTCTGTTGCTGGAAACTGACTTTTACATCAAATATTATGTTTATATTAAATAGGATTAAATGGATTCAGAAAAATTCCACTTGTAGATTCCATTGTATATTGATGTTCATGTGTTCTAATTTATTTATACCACCATCAACCGCATCATTAATTATCATCTGTTAGTAAGTAGTGAATCTGAATGTTTTAACCTTTAAATCTAAAATGATCACTTTTGTAGCAAAAACTTCTCAATTCAAATTGTAAATTCATTGTTCTTTTTTTCCTCAGATGATGAAACATGCTTGGAATAATTATAAACGCTATGCCTGGGGATTAAATGAACTGAAACCTATATCGAAAGAAGGCCATTCAAGCAGTTTGTTTGGTGAGTAGTGAATGCTTTGATTTCCTAGTGACAGTATCTCCTTTCCAGTTGCCTGAACGTATGGGTGGCAGAAAAGTTTGTATGATACAGTGATTCTCCAGGCTCTCCATCTCACACCTGATGAAGTTACCTTCAGGTACTGTATGGTGTGTCCTTCAGATAGAACTGTGGCTTCATGACAGAATGACCTGCGTAACTTTAAAAGTATTCATGTCTATGACACACTTCTGAAGAGTCTGGTGTAATGGGTATAGAGTGTAATATCAGGATTTCTAGTGCCACAAATAGAAAATTCTTTACTGAGTTGCATTTAACTGCATCCTAACAGGTAAAAGCTTTGTGTTTTCAATGTGTGTGTGTGTGTGTGTGTGTGTGTGTGTGTGTGTTACTAGAGTTTGAACTTGGGGCCTCACACTTGGTAAGCAAGTACACTCCCACTTGAGCTGTGCCTTCATCCCTTTTTGCTTTGGGTTGTTTTTCACATAGGGTCTTTGCTTTTGTCTTTCTATGTCCACCAATCAAGTAGTTGGTATTACAGATAAGTGCCACCACACCCCGCTTGTTTTGTTGAGATAGAAGTTCCCTAACTTTTTTCCCAGGCTGACTTCAAACTGTGGGGTCCTTCTATCTCTGCCTCTCAAGTAGCTAGAATTATAACCATGAGATACCATTCCCAGCCAAAAGCTGTGGCTTTATAGATAAGCTAGTCAAGGCAAAGGTTTCCAATGTTTATACCTGAAAAAGTGAGTATAGATTAGGCCAGTTACTTGAACTTCTGTTTATCTGTTCTTGCATGCTGAATTGATCACGGCAGCAACCTTCTGTGATCAATGTTGTGGATATTTATGTTCCTATTATGTAAGAAAACTAAACAGAAAGGTTTGATGGATTCCTCCGTCAGAGACCTACATGGTACCCTTTGTAATTAACTTGATTTCTTCCTAGCCTCCCCCTCAAGGATGCTTTGTTTTGAGATACTAAGGCTTGAATTTAAGGTGTCATGCTTGTTTGGCAGGTACTCTACCACTAAGCCACACCTCCAGCCCTAGTGTTTAACGGGTTCTTTTTGAAACAGTGTCTCACTTCCTGCCTAGATTTGTACTAGAACTAGGATCTTTCGATTTTAAGCCAGGAACTGGCCATGTGCAGCTCCCCATCAAAGCTGGGTTGGCAAATGGGTATCTGTTGCGTCCTGCTTCTGTCTGTTGAGATGGAATGTCATAGATTTTTCTCCCTGGGAACCATAATCCTCCCATTCTTAAGCCTCCCAAGTCACTAGGATTTATAGACATGAGTCACCACTACCCAACAAGCCTTCAGATTTTGATATAATAGCAGGATAAAAGGAATTCAGTTTTGTCCTGGGACAGCTGAATTCACTAATAGAAAACATGACTTCTTACCATGTAAGTAACTGTGAAATAATTCCTATTTGTACATGAACAGTTTTAGCTGATATTCATTGAGCACTTATTGTGTGCCAAGTGCCATTCATTCCACATACCATTTCACCAAATTTTTATACTACCATGAAAAGAAGATGGGAAAGATTTTAAAAATTAGAAGATCAATCGTGTGGCCTATGGTAATTTTTAGTTTAGTACCTTTATTTTGTTTCTTTTCATTGAGAGTTTAGATTATATTCAATGTTGTTGTTTACTAATAAGTTAAGAATTACCTTTTGTCTTTTCCAGGTGTGGTCAAAGCGTTTATTGAAAAAAGTTATTTTTAATATTTTTAGGTAACATCAAAGGAGCAACTATAGTAGATGCCTTGGATACACTTTTCATTATGGGAATGAAAGATGAATTTCAGGAAGCAAAATCATGGATTGAAAAAAATTTAGATTTTAATGTGGTAAGTTACTTTTTTTTAATTGTGAAAATACTATACAGAGGGGTTACAATTACATGGGCAAGATAATGAGTGCATTTCTTATCAAGCATTGTATCCTCCTCCTTCTTTGTTTCCCCTTTCCATCCCTTCCCATCTCTCCCCCCTGCCCCCTGCTGTGCCAAAGTTGTAAAGTTCATTTTTGTCATAACATCTTGTACATCTCATTGTTGCAATGGGTCCAACTGTATCCCTATTTAAACAATTTGTTTTCCCCTTCCCCTCCACAAATTATACCGACATCAAATACAGTGAAAGCAGGGGTTGTACTGTGAGGGAGGGTCATACAAAGCAACAAAGAAATAATCTTATAAATGTGTTAGAAACAATCACATGAAAGAAAAAAAACATTTGAATACATATTTTAGGGTTCATTTCCCTAACATCACCTTATCTGACCTTTTCTGCTTGACTCAGGCATATACTAGTTATTGCAAATAAGGGAGACCATGGGACCTATGTTTCTTTGGGCCTGGCTTACTTCACTTAATTAATTTTTTCCAAGTCTTTCCATTTCCTAACAAATGGGGCAATGTCATTCTTTCTGATGGAGGCATAGAATTCCATTGTGTATATATTAATGTGGTAAGTTTCTAATTGAGTGCTTAAATTTCATCTAACATAAATATATTCTGTATTAGGGCAGATCATTGTATTGCAAAACATCCGTAGTAGAGACAGTGCAACTTAAATAGCCTTATTATGTTATATTCTTGCCTTCACTTACTACACTTAATATGTGTCTGGCTTATTTACTCATTCATTCTTTTTTGAGACAGGTTCTCACTATATAGTTGCCCTTGACCTTTCAGACCTTCTGCCTTACTCTCCTGAGTACTAGGATTACAGATGTGTGCCAACACACACAGCAAGAAATGAATATTTATTAAAGCTTACCTGTGACAAATACTTTTGTTTAAGTTCCACAACAATTCTATAGTATGAGTACTGTTTTTATACCTTTTCCTATTACAAATTGAAGCCCTAGGATCTTATTCTAGATTATAGGGCTTTGTTGGGCCTTTATTCTAACAGATATTTGTGACTCTTTGCTTGTGCTCCACACAGCGCACAGAGGACACAGCAGAAGTAAGCTTTCAAGTTTTTCCTATAAGTAAAGCTTCAAATTTGTTAGCCATATACTTAAATTTATACATATATATATATATATATATATGACATTTAAAAATGTTTGTTCTATATGAAAATTCTTGGAGGCCCTGTTAACTCAGACCCTGTTTACTCATTATTGAGGATAGGGGATACCTCTAGGTCTTCTTGATATTTTGATTGAGAAGGACTGTGTCTCCTCTAATCTAATTTAGTTAACCAACATTTTACCTGGCAAAGTACCTAGTCTAAGAAAAGGAAGCCTGCTGGCCCTGGCATCTTTTTCAGTTATTTACTTATGGCTGCATTATGGGTATTATTTTTAATCTGAGATTACTTTTCTGAGGTCCTAGGAAACTTTGTCTACCTGGTACATAGTCAGTAATATCTATAAATCCCTATCACCAGTCACAAGAAATGTGCTGTATGTTGAAAACAGATCAGAAGGCCGGGGCTCCTGCCCACTCCTCCCAGCTGAGGTCCTCTTGTTCTTCCACACACTGACAGAGAACCCCAGTGTCAAAGAATTCAAGATTAGTAAAGTTATCTTTTGTCCATTGCTTTTCTCCCACTTTTCTAATTGCTAAGACTATCATGTTTCAGTAATCTTGTGGACAAGCAGATGAGTTGATTACTGAATGTAGAATATAAGGGAAACAGTATTCCAATACAAAGGGCTATTGCTTTTATTTTTCAAATAGTACAAAAAGTACAAGGAAATGGTAATGCATTCAGGTTCATAGAGTTCTGTAATTGGAATGACTGGTGTTAGTTCTGATATTACTGATAAATAAATATTTATTTTGTCAATCATGGGGCTTGAACTCTGGGCTCTGGCACTATCGCTAAGCTCTTCAGCTAAAGGCTAGCACTCTACCATTTGAGCACAACACCACTTCTGGTTTTCTGGTTGTTAATTGGAGATAAGAGTCTCACAGACATTCCTCCCAGGCTGGCTTCGAACTGCGATCTTCAGATCTCAGCCTCTTGAGTAGCTAGGATTACAGGTGTGAGCCACCAGCGCCCAGCTTAGAAATAAATTTGAAAAGTGAAAGCAATGCCAGAAACTATTCTTTTGTCAAGATTATTCTCTCAGTGATAATTTTTTCCTTTTGTTCATTTTGTTCTGGGAATCAAACCTATGCTTTGCATATGCTAGACACAGGCTTGGAGCTATACCTCACTCTTTCTAATATTTGCCTCTGTCTTGTTATTATAAATAGATTATAGTATCAATAATCTCAGCTACCTATATGAAAAAACATGCAGTCTTATCTCAGTTATCTTCTCTCTTCTCTCTCCCACTCTCTTCTGATGTCCCCCTCCTCAGCTGTGGTGGCATATGCCTATGATACTTGGGAAGTGGAGGCAAAAGGTTGACAAATTTGAAGTCAGCCTGAGAAAAGTTCGCATGGCCCTTTCTCAAAAACAAACTAAACTAAAGTGAAACACAGGGGAACCTAGCTTAACTGGTAAGGTGCTGGCCTTAATGCTCAAATGGATAGTGTTGGTGGTGGGTAATAACTAGATTTATCCAAAATCTAGTAAGAGTCAAGATAGTAGAGTTTAGTACTAGAACTATGGCTACTGTCCAGATCCCTTACTAATCCATGTTGGTTGGCCTGAAAAACGACAACATCATTGTTCCAGACCTCCCCAAATACTTCATTCTACTTTCAAGACCAGTTGTGAGCAATTCTGAACATGGAAGCTAGGCATGGGAGTGGTTGTTGTAATTAAAAAAGACTGAGCACAAAAAATTGTTACTGTAACAAAAAGCTGGTGGCTGGCCTCTGACCACCACAAGTGACACAAATGTGTTCTGTGGGCTACAGGAACCTGTAAGGAAGCAGAATAAGTATACTCAGGAATATTAACCTGTGTTGAAGACAGCAACAAAAAAAGACACAGTAACTTGATTTTTACTTACATAATAAAGGGATTGAGATCTTGTTGAATGGTGACTAAGATTCTGACCTTAAAGTTTTCTTGGTTTGTCCAAAGACCCCGAATAGCAAAAAATAATCCTTAACAGAAATAACAGTGCTGGAGGAATATCAATACCAAATTTCAGACTCTACTTACAAAGCCATAGTAATCAAAACAGCTTGGTACTGGCATAAGACCAGACCTCAGGACCAATGGAATAGAATTGAAAATCCAGAAATGAACCTACAGACCTATAGCCATCTAATCTTTGATAAGGGAGCTAAACAAATAGAATGGAAGAAAGACAGCCTCTTCAGTAAATGGTGCTGGCAAAATTGGTTAACTATTTTGGTTTTTTTAATAAAAATGTATCCAAGCCACGTGCCGATAGCTCATGCCTATAATTCTAGCCACTCAGGAGGCTGAGATCGGAGTGAGGATCGCAGTTCAGAGCCAGCTCAGGCAGGAAAGCCCATGAGAAGCTTATCTCCAATTAACCACCAGCAAACCAGAAATGGCACTGTGGCTTAAGTGGTAGATCACTGGCCTTGAGCTGAGCTGAAGAGCTGAGGGACAGCTCCCAGGCCCATAATTCAAGCCCTACGACCAACCTCCCCCCCACCCCCCAAAAATGTATCCAGTTGACAACTGTTAATGACAGTCTTGTGCTGTATTTTTCTAACTATATTTCTAATAATTATAGTTTGAGAGATTTTATATATACATATATATATATATGCACCATACTTTGCCTTTTAAAAATGTAATCAATATAGTCTAAATGTGATAGTAGTACTTCCCATATTAAAAATGGTAACATATATCAGGAAAGCTATATTAATTTGCTCTTCTGATCATGTTAATAGAGTTGTTAGCTTACTCCTCTCTAGTTGGTCTTCATATACCACCTGTGAGAATTGGTCTTATATTTGCCAAGTTATGCCCAGAGATTTAGTGATTATTTGAGGAACTGTAGACTTTTCTTTAAAAAAAAAAAAACAACTTTTTCCCATTTATCTGATAGAGAAGCTTAGCATAAAGAGACAAAAAAATATTTCATTTTTATGGATAGCATGTAATATTTCATCTTAGATACATTATTGTTTATATTTAAATTAATATATTTTCCCGAGAAAGTATTTTAATTACCAATCCAAAAGTATTGTGGAACAAACCACATAAAGCAGTTAATATATCAAAATTTATTGCAGTAGAAGAATAAAATGGAATTGAAGTCGAAATACTATTATTTAAAGTTCTTTCCCGTGGTGTTCTTCAATATAAATAAATCTTACATTGAAGAATAAATTTATTTGTATGCAAAATATTCAATTTATATCACTTGAGAGTATAAAGTAAATGCTTTTCGCTGGTTTACACTGTCATTAACTAAACTCATTTTGTTTTCATGAAAGCATAACAAGTTGATTGATTGTGCATATTTTGTAGTACAAAGTTCAAATGGCTTTAATAACTGGCTTAATAAATCACTGAGATAATATGCTTTCTAGAGTAGGAGCAAAAACTACATTGATGGAGCTCTATATTCAATTCAGGCATTCGTAGGGTAGGAGCTTATAGGTACTGAAGAAAACTCTTAAGGATAGCTTCTGTAGGTGAGTTTTTTTAATTGTAACTAAAATAGTCTAAGGCCCATTTGTGTTCACTGATTATTCATTCACTCATTATTTCCAAAGTACCATCTAAGGACTAGTTACTTACCCTAGTGGAGCTTCTACTCTAGCAGGAAGAAATCAGAGCACCCTAACTAGAGCTGATCTAAGGGAAAAAGGAGGACATAATTTAATGAGTACCTCATACATATTAGCTGTTCCCTATAGGTAATTCTTGTGTAATATAGAGTAAGTGGTAGTTTTCCCTGTTTTTAGATGCAAATATGTTTCATTTTTCCAAGATTATGCAAG